CAACAAAATGTAATGGAATATTGGTGAGAAGGTTCAACTTTTACTGCCATTCCACCAACATTTGCCTCTGACATTGCGGGCTAACATAATAATACAGGAGGCATTACTTTCAGAGAAAGCATTGCACATGTTATTAAGGAAAATTATTTTTTTAATAGAATTATATATACCTATCATCTTCTTTAAATCACTGGGCATGGAAAAATCACCACTCAGAATATGAGGTGTTTTCAAGTTAACAGATTGTAGGCAACATTCCCTACCTCACACTCCCTGTTGTCCTTACATTTAATTGGAAATTCTCTCAGTTCTTTTCCTAAAATGAATGGCATTTGTAGACAAGTTTCCGTTTCACTACTTTTAAACTGATCAAAGCAATTCCTGTAATTATGTGAGCTTCTGGCAGTTTTTGTACTAAAACTACTTCATTAGGTGCTGCTATTCTTTTCTAATTTTCACTGTATCTGTCATTTATAAACACTCACATCAACATTTCATGCATCCACATTAACTGTGACTAGAGAAACAACTTACTGGATGATTCTTTTGAAGAATCTGCCTCAAACAAAAATTTATTAAATGAAATTACAAAGCATGAATTAGCATACCCTGATACCAATTAGGTAATCTTATGTTAATCTTACTTAACTCATAGCAATCATGGCATTGTTCACTTAGGATAAGGAACAAAACAAGACACACAAAAAAGAAACTGTAGGGGTTAAAACTGAAAATAATCAGAACAGGATATGAAACCAAAATATTCCTAAAATTATCATACTTCATAAATATGTATGAGGCTACTAAATAGAAGATATGCTTTCTTATTTTATCTGTTTGCTTTCTTATCATTTGTCATGAATTATAACTACTCTACATTATCTCACTATATTCCCCCTTCATTCCCAATTTATGACCTTTCACTATGATGGGATTCTGTTTTCAGCAAAACACACTGAAACTATTCAGGGGATGGATGTAGATTCTTTGCATCATCAATTGAGATGGTAAAAAGGCTCAGCTCCAATAACTTTAACAGAGACCGTTGCCATAGTGCTTTCATCTGCTATGTGTTGGAAATACATGTTTGATGTGAAGTTCAGAAAATCTGTGGATAAAATAATACAACTCCACTATAGACAAATCTTAAACTTTTGGATTTTTACATGAACTAAATTTATACTGAACTAAAATTATACCATTTGCACAGTTCCCTATAACCACAGATTCTTATCACAAATGCACCTAAACCTATTTTGAAATGGTTGCCAGTCCCTCAGACCTTCTAACAACTCTCATTTTCTTCGCACAGCTCAGTCTCCTCAAACCCCCACATTCTGTCCTTAGAAGTTCTCAGCGTCTCCTGTCTTCTGAGGAGAAATGTATTCAGACTCATACAACATTTATCAAGTGGCCCTTGGAAGTCAGAGAGAACCCCAATCGCCTGTATCATATCTCAGTTAGAAAGCATCGTCTTTGCTTTGGCTCACTCCAACCAGCTCTTTCCCAATAGAGGGAACAAGTTCTAAGATATTCAGACGCAAGCCACATTTATTCTTGAGGAGTAGTATTCAGTTCTTGTGCTTCCTTTACTCAGGAGTATGGACACAGCCCAAACGGGCTCCAAACCCTGAGGGTTCCAGAGATTTCAGGAAAACAATCTGCACACCAGAAGACTGCTTCCAAATTAAATCCAGTCCATCACATTGCATAGGATCACATAATATTCTTTCAGATTAATATGGTAATTAAAAAGCTGGAAATATACTCAATCTGGCATTTTGATAAGTTGTTTCAAATAGGTTTATAAATATTTCTGAGAATATGTGGTCTGAGTACAGTCCTGTAACATGCAAGGTTAAGCAGCCATAGAAAATAATTTAAATCTCAAGTATCTCCATGTAAAGTGGAAAAAAAAATATTATAAAGTGATATCAGGTAACTGGTATGGAATGGTCATTGTTCAGAGCAGGAAAAATGGTCATTTAAAACTGACAATCCACGGCACTACCACTTCCCTAAAATTGTAAATTTTACATGAAGGAGCTGAATGAAACAGAATATGCCATTACTTTAACAGTGCTGTTGCAGACATCAGCTACCAGAAGGTCTTTTCCTGGCCCTTACCTCTCTTGTAGCACATGGGGCGCTCCAAGGAAAGGTTGGTTGAAGAGCCCAGGCAATCAACAATAGGTAACTCTGATAACAGAAATTGGTTTCCTCTACTCCAAATACTGTAGTCAAGTATTGGAGCTGAAGAACTGTTTTGGTTTTAGTAGTCTAAGAGTAGCACAAATCCAATAGCAGTACAGAAGGAAAGGAATGACTAAACGAAGGAAGAGAAGTCTTCATTGAAAATTAGTTTGGTTTCAGTAAGTATTGCATTAACAATTTGCACGTGGCTGGTATCAAACATCACATGGCAGAATATATGAAGTCTGTGCAAAGATATACAAGAAAAATATTTTTCTAAAAGCCCTACTTTAATACAGCATCTATCTTTTTTGATCCACTTTATTCTCTCTTCTCATCCTCTCAGACCCTTTCATTTTAGTTGTTCATATCAAATTACCAAAACCTATCAACATTTAATTGCTGTTAATCTTGCTAATGTCAGGAAGTTTTAGAATAGTTGCAGCTATTTTGTGGTTCCAAGGAGGTCATTTACATTCTTTATCATATATTGTTACTAAGGCAGCACTAAATGGATGCAATTTTGCTATTCCAAACATTTTCATCTCCATATGGGAACAGAAATAAAGTGTATTTACTCAGGGCATTGTTATGTAAGATTAACTACATCCGTGAGGAAGTTTCCCTGTATTATGAGTACTGTTAATATGTTGTAACTTTCACATATAGCCAAGATCTCAGTTGATTTAGATTGACCATTACAAGTGAATACAGTAATTTAAATGATTTGCTCTGTGTTCCTAACTCAGTTTAAGGAAAAGAGAGCTACTATTAGGCAATTTGGTATGCTACTTTTAAAACAGCAGCTTGTATAGAGCTTGTTTAGCACAAGTAGCTAAATTTGCTGAAGCCTAAGACCACAGGTCTTGAACTTTTTTACCAGTTATAAGTAAGGAAGATCACAGGGTCAGCTGGAAATGAGGGATAAGAAAGTAAGAAAGACAATACTGACAGCCTGTGAAACTGTTGGTAGATTCTAGAGCCCTAAAGACAAGAAAAGAAACAGCTCACCTAGAAACAGTGAAAGGAACCAAAAAAGAGAAGTAAAATCTCCTACCATATTATTAGTATTGGTCAGGACTGTTAGATAAAAGATTGGGAATGTAGATTTTTTTTGTTCTGGATTCATTCTCAAAGTCACCCAGCTTGAGCTGTTACTGCAAATTTAACTCTGCAGATTTTTTTTTTTGTTTGTTTGGATTATTAACATTGCAGAAACAGACAGACAAACCCCGTTATGGTGGCTGCCTTGTACAATTTTTATAACAGTTATGTAATATATAACTTTTTCTGTCATCAGCAGAAACCTTATATCACTTTTTCTGTCTCCAGTTGCTATTTATTCCTGGTAACTTGGTGACAGTAACTGTTTTATTTTTAATTTTATCTTTTAAAAAGTATACATTTTAGCTCAGAGAGAATATATGACCCTTCTACACAAGGTGTATATATTATTTTCTGCCTGTAGCTGATTTTAAACTTACCATGCTCTTTGGATTTCTTATTCAGGTTTCTTCCAGTATTACCACTATGACTTTTCAGGCATGTGCTTGGATGCCACTGTGAATTTTATGTGTAGTAAAAAAAAAAAAAAAAAAAGTATCATATTCCAAACCAATGTGTCTATATGTATATATATAAGCATTTTACATAATATAGACACTTCTGATTGTCTATTTTTAGTGAGACTATCATAGAAATCCAGGGGATTATTTCATTCTATACAGCACACACCTAGAAAAACCTTGCCTCTACCTTAATTGTCCAATCTGATCTGACAAACAAGGGACACCAAGTTAACTCTTAGGTCCAAATACTGATAGCTGTAGTGAGCCACTAAGAAGTATGCTTTGTTTTCTGAAAACAAAAACAAGCAAAAACAAACAAAACAAAAAACACAGGACCACCAAGAGCTATGGTGCTTTTTCACACTATTTCCTATATATCACTGAAAAATTCAGGGTACACAATGAGTTTTCTGACAGAACAGATTAGAGGTTTCTACTGCAACTATTTTCTAACCAAGCCTCCTCAGTGCAGAAATGTACTCGCTGCTGCAAAGGTGATGTCTCACATTGCTCTCCCTCTTCACTTGTCTCCATTTATCTTGTCATAATCCTACATGAGAAGGGGAAAGGGAAAGAAAGAAAATGTACATATTCTGTTTACAAAGCAGGACCTGTTTTCATAACTAGGAATACTGTGACACTCTTGAGATATACCCATCTGCCTTATGCTTTATATAACATTTATTTCTTCACTTTCATACTTAGAGCACAGCATCTTCAATAAGCCCAGTGCTGTGCTCTGGAATACTATTATCCATATTGCATTGCATAGGGACTCCATCACCAGACTTTATAGAAATTGATTAATAAACCTGTGGAATTGAAAACCTAAACCTATGATTTCAAAATCTAAATCTTAAACTCTGAGTCATCACAATGTATTGCTACACTAGAAATCACGTGCTTTGAAGAAATACATCATACTGAGAATAGATTGGTGGAATTTTTGTTTTTATCCTCATCAGTTCACTAGGCAGAAGACAGACTCTGACTAGGATTTAACAATATGAATCGAAGTTTGCTACAATTTGCAACTAGCTTTTATCGTTGATTACAAAATATTTATTCAATGTTTATATTGTCCCTCCTCTTGTTTCTACATTTATTTCTCTCTACACTCTAAACACACCTTTATGGCTTTTCATGACAGTATTTAACCTGCTGAGTGGACTCTACCAGTTCTGTTTTAGTACATATAGGATCATACCAGCTTCTATTAGTTCAGTACCTTCACCATATGTAGACTGTATATAGACATCTTTGTAACTTACACTGATGAGTTCTCTTATCACAGATACTACACTTGATCTTAGCCAAAAGGCTGAGAAGCAAACGTCCTACCACCGATATGTCCATTTCTTTAAATAAATTGCTAAGTATTAAGTATCTTTGTGTGTGATAATACAGTTGGGGCATACACACATTCTGGATAACACTAGGAAAGAGGATGAATTTAGTTATTCAATGCTGAAAATCTCTTGATTAATTTCAGTCTTGTCTTGCTCTCCTGTTGTTCTTTTTGACCTATCAGCACAGTATGCCAAATTTTCAAAAGTCCATTCATGCTTCACTGTCACTTTTCTTTAAGCATCATTAAAGCACTGATATTTAGAAATTCCAATTTAGTCAAAGGTGAAAGTCTGTTTTTTAAGTATCTGTCTTCAGAAATGTTTCTTAAGCAGAAACATTAAAGTATCAAAGAGTGTCTGAATGTCAATTTTTGGAATACTGATAATCATCTGAACTTTTGACATCTGGCATTTTTCTCAACTACCTAAAGAATGTGCTTCTAAAGTGCTATTACGGTGGAGAACGTGATACCAGCTAATTAACACAGACGCAGTACTGATTTATCAACAGAGTGGAAACTTGTTATAGCAAAGAAAACTATTGGTGATTAGCATTTATAATCTTACTTGGCTTGGAATGTATACAAGGGCTGCTCTGAAAGTAACGCCTCCTATTTTATTATGTTGGCCCACAACATCAGAGGGAAATGTTTGTGGGATGGCAGTAGAGGTTGGACCTTCTCAACAATTTTCTATTACATTTTGTTGCCATGTGACAAGTGGCAGCAGAGGGGCAGTCTGACAAATTGGCTCCTGACATGGAAGAAAAGATTTGTCACTGAATTCCTCTATGTGGAAAAAATGGCACCCATTGACTTGCTGAATGCTTGCTGAATGTTTATGGAGATGAAAGAGTGGATCTGAGCACAGTGAAACTTTGAGTCTTGTGTTTCAGCAGTGGTGACAATAATGTGAAAGACAAGCCACATTCCAATGGCCATGCAGATTTACATGAACACAATATGCAGGTTTTTGTTCATTGCAGGTGAAAATGCACAGCTAATGGTGATGACTTCATTGAAAAACAGCATTTTTTAGCTTAGAATTTGCTGTATCAAATAGTATTCTTGTGCTCTTTGTTTCTGTTGTAGTTTCAGTGGAAATAAATGGCAGACATTACATTCAGAGTGACATACATGGAAGATTCGCATCTGTACTGTTAGAGGAGGAGAGAAACAAAAGGTAGCAGATGAAGTAGACACACTGCCTCTTTCAAATATGTGCTGTCTGTCACCAACTCAGAAAGCCTAACAAGGTACATGCTACATGAGAGACCAGAAAAAGATATGGGTTCAAAACAGAGAACTCAGTCAGCTTCTATAACGAAAGGGATTTAACTGCTTTCAGTACAGTGGCAGGAATAGCAGCAAAGAAAGCTATATGATTCAATTGCAATAAGCCCTGCTGGTTGTTGCTGGATTGATAACCCTACAGTTTCTAACCATGAAATCCTCATTGGGTTGCCTCCTAGATTTACAAAGAGTAGACAGTCTTGAATGATTGTAACCTAATCCTTATACCAAGACATCTAGCTTTTAGAGAGCAGAAGACTGGGTAAGCAAATCTCCTAAATTAGTCATCTACACTCCTGTAGTCACTGAAGAGAGATGGACACAGAATAAGGCTATTCATCTCATCTATCTTGAGACAGAATTAATAGTTCTGTAAAGATAGTGATTTCTCTGCACTGACTAAAGAGTGAGCCTGATCACTATCTTAGATTAGAGCTGTATATTTTTGATGGCTGAAATAAAATAAGATGAATATAAGCCAAAATGACTAGAATTTCTAGAAATTCATTTATTTTTCTTTTCATCTTGAGTAACCTGCAATCACTGGGAACAGTACAAATTACTACATTTTCTCTGCTCAGTAATTTTAATTCAATAACATTTAGTCTAATATAAATTTATTCAAAGATGCCATATCCTGTTCAAGAAAAAGAAAATCCCTGCTTCTCTTTCAACTGTTTAATTTTTGAAATAGATTATTTTAACCTTGCATCATCAATTATGCAAGTGTCCCATTTTATTTAAAAAAATCTGAACAGTAGCCTGTTAGATGTAAAATTTCTGTTCATTAGTTCTCTTTCACTTTTTCATTCTATCTTTTTACCAGTAACAGAAATTTAAAAGACAAATGTATAGGAAACACCACATTAGAGAACTAGCATTAAGTAATTAGCGAAAAATGTTATTTTAGTTCAACAAAAAGGCTTTTAGCAACTTGCTTTTCATTGCTGGGTAAACTTTCCTTTGTAATTTAGTACATCTCCTGCCTAGGCCTGTATTTCTCACTTTTACACCCAACATGTATAAATTGCATCTCCATCTTCCCCAGACTGACTTTGGATTCAAAGGCATGTGGATAGGAATAGCTCCATGTTCTTTCTGCTTAAGCTGCTGCTGCTCAGCAATAAAAAATGAACAGAAGTACAGCATTAGCTACTGAAGCAGACTAAGTTCATGGCAGGGATGCTGTGAGACAGCATAATGATGTACATTTAGTACATGATAATCATAGAATCATAAAGGTTGAAGAAGACCACTAAGATCATCTAGCCCAACCATCAATCCATCCCCTCCATGCCCACATCTCCCAGTGCCACATCTACCCTTTCCTCAAACAGCTCCAGCCTCAGTGACTCCACCATCTCTCTGGGCAGTCTGTTCCAGTGCCTCCTCTCTTTCTGAGTGGAAGTTTTTCCTAATATCCAACCTGAACCTTCCCTGGTAAAGCTTGAGGCCATTGCCTCTCATACTATTGCTGTTACCCAAGAGCAGACGCTGATACAACCTTGCCACAGCCTCCCTTCCAGGAGTTGCAGACAGCAATAAGGTCTCCCCTGAGCATCCTCTTCTTCAAACTGAACAATCCTAATAATTAGATGCGAGCCTAATTTGTACGTTAAGATGCTGATATCTGAATGGAACAGCTACAAAAGCTCAATATGCTGGGGTTCTTCTGTTTGCTTTGTGTTTACTGCAAGGGCCACATCCATACAGCCAGTAAATTAGACAAGGAAAAGTAAATAAGAAGTGGAATGAATGGAAAAGGCAAAAGACATGTAAAAGAATAGGAATTTGATACTTTAAAACAAAATTCAATGCTCCATAATTAGTTTTTTTAATATTATATTCAAACAAATGTAATTATTAATAATTTGATCATCAGGGCAATTTCTATACTGTAAATAGAGATTCTTGCTTAACTAATTTGTCTCGAAAGACCTGTTTTTGAGTGTACATGATCTTATTTTGTTCTTTTTACCTTTGGGAATTAACCAAAGAGAGAAGTGGCCTTTGAGTAAGGCTCGTACCTCTCATTGTGTGTGGGCTTCTATTGGAACATTCCTAACGGGTCATCACGCTCTTACCTACCAACTCACATGTGAGGATGAATGCAGCATGCACGTGAATGCTGAGCTGCAAGGCCCAACACAACTCATTAAGTTTGTCTAACTGAACCCTAGCAAGGTATGTCAGGCTACATGTGATTTTTGGCTAGCAGCCATCAGGTACAAACATGAGAGACTGTGAGGCTGCAGGCACAACCTTAAATGTGGGCCACTTCAGTAGCTAAAATGCGTTAATACTGTTGCCATGGGTGGTTAGCACACCCCACACACAGTGCTGATAAGTGCAGCTCTAGATCTCATTTGTTCACTTCCCTGCTTTCTTCCCCTATTCCCACCTTCTCCCTCCATAGAAATGGAGCGATTGCCCACAGGCTTTCTAGTATCATGGCTGGTTCTACAGTAGCATTTGTCTAGAAATCACTCTTTCCAGGGCTCAGCTGATGAAAGTGATGAAGCAGGTGCACGGCATGAGTAAATATGCATTGGCAAGATAAAGTGTCATTTCAGCTGAAGTAGTGATTCTGAAGCTAAATCAGCAATGTTAATTCCAGTTTCACTGAGCAGGGGGAAGTAACAAGGTTTGTCAAAGTGATGGTAATTTTCACTTGAAAGAGATACAAGAAAAATATTCTTCTGCAATCTGTACTCTGGTTTTGTTTAGTAAAATATTCCATCGATTTTCTCTTAACAGACTTCAGGACTGAAAGGGTTTGATAGTCTGAACTTTATTGTAGTATATAATCAAAGACATTTAAGAAATTAACCATTAACTACCATTTGATGAATGAAATCACTAAAGGATGGGCTTGAGTGGCCAACATCCAGATTTGATCTTAGGTTTAAAAGTGCTTCCACTGAATGTGATCTGTTTTAATCAAGCACTTTAAAAAACCTTTTTTTCTTACACTTAGAGAAAGAAGACTCTACATCGTTTCCCTTTGTTGAGGCTGTGATAAGAGGGCAACATTTTTAAAAAAGTAAGATGCATACATACATGCTCTCTATGACTGACTGAATAAGTAGTCCCTTTGCTCCTGCAGTTCGATGTACTTGCATCTATAAGCAGTGCTGCACTTATGCAGGTCTCACAGTTAAAATGGGAACTGCTGTCACCTCAATTGTCACACTAATAACTGCACTATCCTTCATTCCCTGTACTGCAGGGTTGACATAGTATCTCAGAAGTTAACATAAAATAGCATGCCTCTAAGCTCTAGATTTTACAGCTGTCTCTTAAATGCAAACACCATGCCCAGCCAATTAAGGATGAGACTCAATAACCCGCTGCCTAACTGCATGTGCCAAGATGAACTTTTCCAGTTGTGCTGACATATGAAGCCAGCATTGTAACTTGGGAGTAGTATCTGCTCATACACCCTGCATAAGCAAAGTACAAAAGAACGGGTTGATTGCAGAAATTATCCACAGGAAAGTTATTCCTCTTTCATTTTCCTATAATAATGTTACTTACAATATCTATTCCAGCATATGTATGCATGAAGATCCATAATTATGCATTAATTTCCTGGTTTTAGCTTAATTAATATTTGAAAATCTCAGCTCTATGTATAGATAAGTTATAATACAGATGATACTTTCTTGATAACTTCACAAATCATGCTTTGA